TTAAACATAAACATATCATAGGGCCTAGCAATTTCACTCCTGGGAGTCCAACTAAGAGAAATGAAAACATATGTCCACACCAAGACATGTGAATAATGCCCACAGGGACATTACTCATAATAGCCTGAACTGGAAACTCAAATGTCCCTTAACTGATGAACAACAGTTAAACAAAATGTGGTATGGATCCATACAATGGAACACCTGTCAGCAATCAGAAGAAAGAACTACTGATACATGTTACAACACGGAAAACATGCTGCATGAAAGTAGCCAGATTCAAAAGGCCACAAAGACTATGATCCATTTATATGTACGAAGGTAGAGGGTTAGGAAGCAGGTTAGCAGTTGCTGAGAGTGGAGTCGGAATTAATGTAAAAAAGGCCACTGGATCTGTGTAGGGTGATGAGAATGTCCTAACACTGGATTGTGGTGATTGGTTGCAAAACTCCATAAATTTACTCAAACATCTGAACTGTACACTTTCGGTGGGTGAATTGTAAGGCATGCATGTTATTCCTCAATAATAGTGTTATAAAAACAGAACTGAACAGCTCTAGTGCCAAGCCATTCTATGCACGGCTGAATGATGCATGGGGGAAAGGAAGGTGGTAGCCAACAGGTGTCGTTGCAATAAAATACCCAATGTGATTTATCCTATCAATCACATCCAGTTCTAAAATCTAATAGCAGTCAGCTTTACCGGGTCTCACAATCCTAAGAGGACAGCACGAATATTATCTCCACTTTACAGACGAGAAAACGGAATCTGAAAGGGAAAGCAGCTCATGCGAGGACCCACAACTACTAAGCGGCAGAGCTGGGCCTGGGACGTGGGCCTACCTGATTCGGAATCTGTGTTCTGTACCACTGCTCCTACCCTCCTCCGCCTACCGCCTCCCCCTGACTCTCTGGCCCCCAGCAGAAACGCACAGCACTGCTCAGGCAGGCAGAGCAAGGACGCTAAGCTGTCCATCTTGCTGGAGCAAACACAACCTTTTACTTAGGTCTCCAGCACCAATGTTTCCTGGAGCCCCCGTAACCACTGATCAAGAAAGGCCTGGATGCACGTAAGCAGCACATTTGGGTGAAGGCACGAGCGTCAGCTTCGGCCTGGAATGCGTGGTTCCCAAAGCCTGTGTGAGTGTCCCGGGGTTTAGCAAAGATGAGCCAACACTCAGGGGTCGAGACGACCTTAGGTTCAGCCACAGGCCTGCCCAGAAGAACTGCTCACTCAAGCTTCGCTTCGGGGCTGCAGGTTTCCAGGGAGCACTCCACGCCGGGCCCCACAATGCCACCCTGTCCTCCCAGCACACCGGTCTGGCAGGGAGCTGGCAGCAGCCTCCTCACCTCTGGTCCGTGGCAGACGGAGCTCATTGTTCCCTCTCTCTCGTAGCATCACCTGTTCGCTTCTGCCAGGCCAAGGCACAGAGAGACTGTGCAGCCGTTTCAATAACATTTTCTGGAGATTCTCCTGGCAAGCCCACGGAGGCCTAAGAGTGTGCGAGTCTCTGAAGGGAGTGGACCCCGCACGTCCAAAGTTTTTCCTGTGATAAGCCCAGGCGCTGGGCACACTTGACAGGGCGTCTTCTCTCCCCTTGTCCCTTCTACCCCAGACACACTGGCTCCCTGCCGTTACTCAGGTCCATGTCCTCCTGCTGGGATTTAAAAAAAAATCTGTACCTGAGGAGGATATGTCATTTATTGATGTTAGAGACAAAGGCGGGAGAGGAGGGAGAGAGAGAAGAAACATTGATCAGACCCGCCACCCCTACACACGCCCCAACAGGGGTCGAACCGAAAACCTAGATAAGTGTGCCCTGACCAGGTATGGAACCACAGACCTTTGGAGTTAAGGACAACGCTCCAACTAAGCCAACAGCCAGCGCCTCCTGCTGGCTTTTTGCAAGAACTGCCCTCACTCTTTGGAACATTTCCCCAGGTACCATCTTCTTCCTTCTCCTACCTTCCTCAGGTCTTTGTTCAAATGCCACCTTTTCAGGGAGGCCTTCCTGACTGCCATTTAAAATTGCAACCCTCCGCCCCCCAGGACTCCCTTCCCTGTTCTGCCATATTTTCCCCACAGCATCTACTCCCATCTGTCATACTACCTATTCCCCTGATTTGTCCATCTCCCTCCCCCAGGGGTGTGCTAGGAGGGGAGGGAGTTTGCCTTTTCTAGGTCTGTCTCTATAGTGCCTAGCACAGAGCCTGACACGGACTAAGTGTAACCACTATCTTAGAAGGAGTAACGCAGACATTAAGGGAGATTTTATCAGAGACCAGCTAGGACTTCTCAAGCCTGCTCGGAGGTGACACCAGCCAGTCTAGGAGAAACCAGGAAGGAACTGTCAACATGTCACATGGAGACAGCTGTATCAAGACACAATCCATGCCTCCCCCACACGTGTGCACAAAACTGCACTGCGGGTACCTGCAGGTGCTGGTCCATTCTCCAATACCTTGTGGGCCGGCTTCTTGGGAGGCCCTCTGAAGTCTGGGTGGGCGACCCCGCTGGCTGGAACATAAGGAAGGCATCTCAGACGTCGAGTAAGAACGGGGTGGATGTCGGTTCTGGAACAAACTGTCATTCCGCAGGAACTCTGAAGAGGTGATGTTAAGTGCCTGGTAAAGCGTGAAGCCCGGACAGGGCCTGGTCTGGGCACAGGCAGCTGCCAGGGGAATTGGCCACACATGCCTGAACCCGGCTCTTGTCCAGGCTTAGCTCACATCACTGAGCACGGTTCCTCTCCCGGGTCCATAGCTTCCTCCCCACCCACCTGGGCCAGGACTGTTGAGCTCAGCCATGATGACGAGCTTCACATTGAAGTTGACAGAAGCCCTCTGCCTGTGGTCACTCCGTACAAAGAACGGATGCCTGGTCAAGGGCGGAGGGGTGGTAGGCAGTTTCTCCCAGCGCATTGCTCATTCTGCCCGCTCGAAACCAGCTCCCTTTCCCAAGCTGAAGGCAGTAGAGGGGGAACAAAACCACAGGCGTTAAAAGCACAGTGGTGTCAGGAAACTTGGTTTTGAATTCCAGCTCTGCCACCAAGTAGATGGGTAATCTTGGGCAATCTCTTTACCTCTCTGACCCTCAGTTTCCTTATCTGTAAAATGGGCTCACAACGGTATCAGCTTTGTTGGGTAGTTGTGAGAATTAAGCAGAATTCCTACGTGCAAGCCCAGTTTCTGGCAGGTGGTTAAGTGTTCCATACATGTTAGATCTTGTTGCTGCTGCTGTTATAAAATAAAGGAAGAGAGGGAGGAAGTCAACCTCTAGCTCACATGTGTCAAACACAAGGCCCGCGGGCCAAATCTGTCCCACCAGGCCTTGCAATGTGGCCTGCACCGCGCTGTCATCACTGCACTCCGCTGCGTTTCCATCACAATGACAGTTTATGACTGTTCAGTAAACCATTCGGCCTGCGATTTAGGCTGGATTTTAGATTTTGGCCCCTTCTCTGATTGAGTTCGACACCCCTACTCTAGCTACTGGCTGCCGACAGCTGAAGACCTCCAAGGTTATGAGTCCCCAGGCAGTGAATTTGCTGGTAATTAAGGTACCAGAAAGGCAGCCTCTCTCCTTTGGGCTTCAGAATGGTGCAAGCCCTCTGAAAGGAAAAACCAGCCTGAAAGGAAACTTCTCGGTGACCATGGGAATTATTCCAGAGAGGGGCTGTCAGGGCTAAAAGTGTGACCCTGGAGGGGGAGGAGAAGAGGCCCCAAAGCCACCAAATCCCAGAGTTTATAATTAGCAGCCCAGCGTCCTCTGTGCCTGCACGAGGGCCTACCTGGCTCAGGGGGAAGGGCACACACAGTCACACAAAAACAACCCCCCAGTGGGTTTTTGAAGTGCTAAGCCTCTTTGTTTGTCTGAATTTTAATGAGGGGCCGGGCAGGAGGAGAGCAGCACTCACTCCCTGGCCCGGAGTGGGCTTCGTTAGCCGCCAGCCCGCGTAGGCCTGATCCAAAGCTGCATCTAGGAGCGGCGGGCCCTCAGATGCGATGTCTTGGGGAGGAAGAGAGAAAAACAAAAACTAAAGATGCCTCCGTTTAGAAACAGGCTGGGGCTCTGCGCCAGATCGCAGGGCATGTTGGAAACAGGCGGGGGCGCTGCGTGGGGGAGCCGTGGAGACAAGCAGCTGCGTGTCTGAAAGGGCGGAGGGAGGCCGGCTCCCTAAGAAAGCATTTCTGTGGAAGGCTCAGGGCTGCCACGCTGGCCCCCTGCTTCTGAGAACCAGGAACCAGGCTCTGAACCTGGGGCAGAAGGAAACATGCTTTGGGAGTCTCAGGCACAGGTGGCGGGAAGAGGGTGAAAGGGGAGTGCTATCAGAAAAGCCACCAAACCCCAATGTGAGGAAGGGGTCACCTTATCACACCCCCTTCCTGCTGTGTCTTCAGCTAAGCCACCTACAAGCACGAAGGAGATAGTGTAACTTCACTAATTCAACCGAAAGTCCGCAGTAAGAAAAGTGTCCGCCAGGCCACCCAGCAGGCAGCCACTTGCAACCCCCATACCCCTGATGCTTACAGGCAGATGCTCCAGGGAACTGCTGTGGCCTCTGATTGAATAACTTTGAGGAGGAGTGTCATTCCTTCTCTCCCTGAGCTAGCTTTCCCTCATGCTCTTCCATAGTAGGCAGAGCTCCCATAAAATTGTTTAAAAGCTGCTTCCTTCATCTCCATGAATCTTTCCAAGAGGGCGCTGCAAAGAAATGGAAGAGAGAGCCATAGAAAAAAAACAATTTAGCCCTGGCCCATTGCTCAATGGTTAGAGCACTGGCCTGCGGACCAAAGGGTTGTGGGTTCGATTCCCTGGCAAGGGTATGTGCCTCAGTTGCAGGTTCCTCGGCCCCTGTGGGGGCGTGTAAGGGAGGCAACCAATTGATGTCTCTCTCTCATGTTGATGTTTCTCTCTCTCTCCCCCCACTTCCCTTCCTTCTACTTTCTCTAGAAATCAATGGAAAAAATATCCTCTGGTGAGGATTAAATAAAAACAATTTTAAAAGAAAAAAGCAATTTATTACAACTGAAAGATCAATGCAGTCTCCTGAAAATAAGTATTTTTATTACAAAATATTCCATATGAAAATTCTAAGCTCTTTGCAAGCTTTTTTAGTTTTAGGCTTATTGAATTTTTTAAAAAGTCCAAAGTGGACTTTAAAAAGTCCAAAGCGGAGGTTATTCTGTGCAGAGAGTGGTCTGTTGCCCCAAGGGCTCAGGTGTGTGCAGACTGTCCCACGGGGTCCTCCTCCTGTGCCTGCAGCAGGTCTCACTCGGTGAGAAGCTCTGAGGACACCTCAGTGTACAGATGGTCCCAGTCCCAGCCGACGTCCTCCTGCCAAGAGAGGTACCACTAACTTTCTCGGGACAAAGGAAGGCCTTTCCCAGTAGCCAGAGCCCACCACCCAAACCCAGCAGCCACGGAGGCAAGGGTCAGCCTGGGGAGCCAGCTGGTTAGAGGAATGACTCAGCTGAGGGAGCAGGAAGCTGCTACTGCTACGTACTTCCCGAACTTCCTGTTCTGGCGCAAGTACTTTGGTGAGGAGCTTCAAGTCGATCACTCCATCCTGTGAATGCAAAGGATGTGCATTTTAAAATGGATGTGCATTTCAAGAAAGATGTGCTTTACAATTAACTCTTGTAAAGTGAGGAGGATCAGGTTGTGGGGGGCAGACTTCCCAAACCCAGAGCTGCAGGAATGCTTTCTGAAAGAGTAAGAATGTGAGTGGACCACACAGCCACTGAGGGAACGCCACGATACCCCGCACGCTGGGCATTCTTTGGAGGAAGGTCAACATCAGGAGGGCAAGGCATGGCAGCAGCCTTTCTCTAGGCCTGCTTATCTATTGACCCCGAGTGGGCAGCCATGGAAGCAGGTGGGAGCTGCGCTGGAAAACACTGGAATGTGCGGCCCGCAATATCCAAGGACGATGCCTCCAGCAAAAGGACTGTTGCCAGGCAACCTCAGAGGCCCCTGGAGGAGATGAAAAATCCCTGGGGATGCTGCCTGGAGCCCGCCCTCTATGCAGGAGCATCTCCACTCACCAGGGTCTGAAAGGCTGCGCACTTCATGAGGTCATTGTCCAGGTCACGGTAGGTCATCACCCGGTTTACCTGGACGCTGCAGGAGAGAGAGTGTGAAGAAGAACCAGAGGCAGGACCAGTTGCAGGAGTGCTGCTGGGCCACTGTCCACAGAGCCTCCTAGGCAGCTAGGAAAGACTAACCTGGGGAAAAAATGTCTAATAAAATAGGAACCCTGGGAGGGAGCCCTCCACCAGCATCTGGGCCTGCACCGGGGGCAGCACCACTGTGGCTGGCATTTGAAGTATATCAGTTCACATGTTCCTTGCCTCCCTCCAGCTTCATAATCTAACATACCTGGGAGGGGCTGCCACCTGCAACACAAAGTCTTCTTCCTGAACTTCTTCCAGATCCGGAATGACAGGAATATCTGCAATGAGAAGAGGCAGCAAAACTGTCAGCAGCATGAAGAGGGATCTTACCTGCTTCTTTATATATTACTTATTCCTTCAGCCGGCCAGCATGGGGCTACCAGCTCAGGCAGAATGGAGAGACACAGTCTCTGGCCTCCAGGGGCTCCCAGTCCAGGGCTATGGGACTGAACTACAGGTGCACATTAGAATCAAAGGTAGAATGTCAACAAGTCCCAATCCTGGGCTTTACCCCAGAACCAGCTGGGTTAGAACCTCCAGCGTAGGGCTCAGGCACCTGTATTTTCCCTAAGATTTCTTTGGCGATCCTGATGGTCACTCCAGGTTCGGAGTCACTGGTTTGGGTCTCCAAGGAGAAATGTAAAGAAATGAGAAGAGCTCCCAGACAGCATTAGAGGGAAAGAGGGAAGGGGAATCAGTGAATAAGCCTGGAAACAGAGGAACTGAGAAGGCGCAGTGCCATGAGGTGAAGGTCACTGACCCCGTGACCAAGGTGCACGTGTGCATTAGCTCATTGTAGTCCTTGCAATTATCACAGTCTCCATGGCCCCGAGCCTGTGTCTGAAGGTCACTTGACACGTAATGCTACAGCCTGGCTCCCAGCCGTGTATCCGAGACCAGGCCTGCATCTGCCAGGTCTACTGCAAAAACAGTGCTGCTTCTAAAGATGACGCTTCTCTTGCTGTCGCACAGAGACTTTCCTTGCCTGGACTCTCCATATGAGACAGACATACAGACACAGAAGGAGTCACTTCCTTCACCAATTTAACAAAGTCATGCAAATGGAGAAACATAGACATCACTTAATTGTGGCAACTGACTTAAGGTACAAAAATAGCCCATGCTCTCCTGGGGACAACCTAACACCGGACAGAAGAATGTCCTTCTCCAGTGAGTACTGCTGACTGGCAGAGGGGTTTTCTTTGTTTTAACCAGACTGCAGAGAGGGGCAGAGCGAACAAAGAGGTAAGGCCGGAAAAAAGACCAACTGGGCTGAGACAGTGTCAGAATTCCCAAACTAACACAAATATCAAAAGGAAGGGGAAAATTCCAGAGAGGAAAGTGAAAAACCCTTCATTTCTGCTTCCATGGATTGAATGCAATATTATTTTTAAACAAGATGCAGAATCATTTCAAGAAAATGAAGACCCTCGCCTCTTTCAGGCTATTCAGGACTTAAACTGCAGTCAAAGTGAAGCCCACATATTTGTGTGGCAGTACAAGCACGGAGTCTTGACTACTGCTTCAGACATTCCGGATGCTGTACCTGGAAAAAGAGAAAGTATGAAAGGGAGACACAGAAAATAAGACACACAAAGAAAGAGACAGGCGAAGAAAGATAGTGATTAAAAGAATGAAGAGGTAAAATAAAAAGAAATGGCTGCGCCAAACTGGTTTGGCTCAGTGGATAGAGCATCAGTCTGCGGACTGAAGGGTCCCAGGTTCGATTCTGGTCAAGGGGCATGTACCTTGGTTGTGGGCACATCTCCGATGGGGGGTGTGCAGGAGGCAGCTGGTCGATGTTTCTCTCTCATTGATGTTTCTAGCTCTCTATCCCTCTCCTTCCTCTCTGTAAAAAATCAATAAAATATATTTTTTAAAAAGGGAAAAGAAAAGAAGTGGCTGATAGGGAAAATAGACATATTCAACCGCCTCTTCCCCCAAATGATGAAGCACATTCAGCAAGTCCTCTTAGAAAGAAGCTGCTCAGCGCTTAGACTGCATCTCCCTATCCTGCTAAAGAATTAGAGATGGAATTCTCTAAGATTCTGTCATATGCTAATGGAAATTTAGCTTTCTTCCTCATTCTCGCTCTGTGACTAACACTCCACGGTGAGGGCTGCCACTGACAGCGCCGGAGCCAGGGCGGCGGGGCCCCCAGGCTGGTGCGAGGCGCAGACCCAGCAGCAGGGTGGGGGGAGGCTGGCTGGGCCATGTGCCATCAGCAGTGTGACAGTTCTGGAGTGATCCAGTTAGCTGCTCCTGGCCCTCCTTGGACGCGGAGTCCAGCCTGAGATGAATATTCAGAAGTTGGTAAGAAAGTGCCCCATGCTGAGTGTAGGGCTCAGGACGGGTCTTCCCAAAGTCCCCTTTCCCTCCACAACACTAGCATTTGGGCCCTGTCAACTCTGCCCAGCTTCTCCAGCTCTGAGAACTGCACTGCGGCCCAGTGTCCACCCTGACTCCCCACAGGCCTCTCGCTTCATCCCCACCCCCTCCTCCAAATGTGCACCAGGGAGTGTGGGGCTGGCCCATCTGTGACAGTTCAGAGGTCAGTCTGGGCCTTGGCACAGGCGCCTCTCAGAGTGGCACTGGTGGGGCTGGCCACACAGTGGGATTTCTCTCTAATTGGAAGCCTGGTGCCCAACAGAACCCGGTGCACTGCCTGAGTGGGACAGAGCCAGCGATGACAGCCAGGCCAAGGCAAGCTGGAACATTCCGGTGCAGTGACAGCTTGAGCCATCGCAGCAGAGTCAGGCCATCCAACTCCCGGCCCCAGTGGAACAGGTGGCCGTGGAGCAGGTTTTGGGCAAACTTCAAAGAACTTCACAATTTTACAGTTTCTGATTTATAATCACGGACAAGTACTTGCTCATGTGTACATAATATGTTCTTGGGAATTTCTGTTCTTTCTCTCCTTCTGCGTCCCCGCCCCCCACTCCCACCTTGCCCTAACCCCACACACATACCATGAACAAATCTAGGAAAAGAAAATGGACTTGAGAAATTCACCTCTTCACAAAATTACCTACACGAAATGGCCCCGCCTGCACACAGCACAGCTACTTGTCTGTAAACCTGGAATGGTGACCCAGTCTGATTCAGGTTGTCAAGTTTAACTTTCAAACGCTCAGGATTTTAATAGATACAACAAGAGGAATACAAGAGTACTGTTGAAAGCTACCGCTATTTTTTTAAAACCTAATAATTATGTTGACTTTATTCTCATTTTCTTCCACGATGCTGAAGAACATGAACAGAAACAATGAGTTAAGCGTATGGGTAGGACTCCTGTCCAGCAGTTAAGAGTGCAGGCTCTGGAGGTAGGATGGCTGGCTTCGACTCTCCCATGTCCTAGCTGTGTGACTTTATCCTCTCTGTGCCTCGGTTTCCTCATCTATGAAATTGGTATAATTGTGCCCAATGCATTCAGTTGTTGTTGAATATTAGGTGCAACAATCTTTATAAAATGCTAAGTGCTATGCTATTTAGATTCATTTAACAGAGATAATATTGAGCATGGAGAGAAAAACTATATAGGTCTCTACCATCATTTTCTCATTTACTCCTGCCCATTTTCCAGATGAGAACACTGAGGCTGAGAATATTATGCAGTTTGCACTAGGTGAAACCATTAATAACAGAACCAGGCTTCCCACTCCTGTCTGACTGACCCGGAGCTTGCTCACACCTCACCTGTGCTTTCTTTGCAAAGGCACAGAGATGCCTTCTAGAGGTGAGACACTGCCTGCTGACAAACAGCTCCCACTTTTCACTCAATGTCCTCTGCTCTTGGGTATTTCTTTTGATACTAATAGCCATAAAGAAGCGAATTCTCTTACCCTAGCCTGTTTGGCTCAATAGATGGAGCATCGGACTGCGGAATGAAAGATCCCAGGTTCGATTCCGGGCAAGGGCTCGTGCCAAGGTTGCAGGCTCTATTCCCAAGGTTGTGGGCACATCCCCAGTAGGGGGTGTGCAAGAGGCAGATGATTGATGATTCTCTCTCATCGATATTTCTAACTCTCTATTCCTCTCTCTTCCTCTCTGTAAAAAAAAAAAATCAATAAAATATATTTTTTAAAAGAATCTGTAAAAGCCATGCAACAGAGGGCGTGCAACAGGTAGCTGAACAATGATTCTCTCATCATTGATGTTTCTATTTCTCCCTCTCCCTTCCTCTCTGATTAAAAAAATAAAAAACTTTTTTTAAAAAAAAGAAGCTAATGCTCTCCCTCATTATGTGCCCTGATTCGCTACTTTCCTACAACAAGGCTAATCGGAGCAGCATGAAAACAGTGCATTGTCGCCAGAGCACCAATCTGGCTCTGAGTCCCACAGAAGCCTTCCTCTCTGTGTCCCTTTAGGGTCTATTGTTTGCTGATTTCTTGGTTGGAGCTTTCTTTTTTTAAAAAAACAGAACAAAACATGTTTTTATTCTTTTTTCTTTTTTAAAGCAAGAGAGGGAAAGGGAGAAACATGGCTGGGCTGCCTCTTGCACACCCCTTACTGAGGATTGAATGAATCTGCAACAGCGCATGTGCCCTGACTGGGAATTGAACCAGTGACCTCTTGGTGCATGGGGTGATGCTCAAGGAGGCTGGCTGGGGCTTTCTGTGTGGAATTTCCTGGTCACTATGGTTTCTAGAGCTCCGTAAAGACTGTGCTATCCTCCAGCACTTACCCTGATACCTTAGTAAGTAATACAAGGTTGGTCTAACTTACCAGGTTCCTTGAGGTCCTTATACTGATAACATCTGTCCCTCGCTTCAACCACTAACTGAGCTCTCAATGCCAAAGGCCCTACCTGATAACACACAATCTCTTCCCACTCAGTGCCCTGGCCACTGCAGAGCACCCACAGGCCGTGACGGGCCCACACCCACCCTCCACAGCTAAGTTCAACAACCAATCAACATGAAAGGGATCCGAAAATACTGTTTAGAGACACTCCAATACAGACCTCAGCAGAGCTCATAAGCAAAAGGAAGCAACATCCACAGTTTTAGGAGATGGCAACTTAAACCAGAAATCATAATTTTTCTCTGCAGCTGCAAAACTTTGTTTTACTGAACGCTGTTACCTTCTGCATCACGTATAGGGAATTTTAAACAGGCAAATGGAAGAAGGTGTGATTGAAGATGAAGTTAAGTGAAAGAAATTGGTCTCATTTAGCCCGTGACAGGATTCATCTGTGTTCCCAAGTCCACTGAGGTGGCATCACGGGCGTTTCATATTCATGAGCTGCGGCGACACTGTCCCCTCATTTACAAAGAGC